GACCAGTACCTGGTGCATGGGAAACCCGGGTGCTAGGCGCTCAGCTTGCACTGTCCACCAGTGTCACTATGACTGCTGTGTGGACTAAGTACAGGTCTACTCTCCATATAATGTAATCTCTGGGACCGCGTAAAAATTATGTTATAGCGAGAGTTATGTTATGTAGAAAACCGTGTGTACAATACAACATGCACCTCAAAATGAAGGGTATTACAAGGCGGGTTCAACCGTGCAAACATATACACACTGTACCACCATCGACATCAGATACCATAAATGCCGCAGAATATACGCACAATGGGACTAAATTGGCTAGCTACGGCTACAACTTGCTTGCACCGCGCACGTGAATACGTTGTATCGAGAGTGCGCGTGCCGTAGGGTGCGTTATGCCAAGGTTTACGTTATGCAGGACTAAACTGGCCTAAACTGCTTAGCTACAGCTACCCTTTGATCGTACAGTGCACGTGAATTTACGTTGTATCGAGAGTGCGCACTTCGGGGACCGCGCCGTAGCGTGTGTTATATCGAGGTTTATGTTATGTAGGATTATGTTGTGTAGAACACAATTTGTATGGGAGTGATGCTGTTTCGGCGCGGGACTTGATTTTTTAATGTACTAGCGAGGTTTATGTACAAGTGAGAGTTGTTATATCGAGAGCAGACCTGTATATGTTATTGCATCATGTCACGTGAGGGTTGCCTGTACTACAGCCAATGAGCGCTCTTGCTCAGCGGTCTGTATTTCTCGGTATTGCCCGACAAGCTATTGCCCGCTTAGTTACATGTACGCGCATGCCCACTGTCATTCTTGTACTTTGTGGTTCGTGATCAGATCAAGTTTCTACTTTTCGGAGTTTCAAATTTGAAACACAAAACAGCAACTTGATCTGACTACAAACTACAAAGCACGAGAATGACAGATCACACACACACGCGCATGTAACTGAGCGGACAATAACTTACTTGTTCCAGCCACCTAAACAGCCGCCTCAGCAGGTTAATGCAACCTTGACGTCGATATCGATGCGTTGATGAGCAGCCGACGAACTACTTGACGAACTGAATGCGTTCGAGGCGAAGTCGTGGAGCCCATCCCAGTTTCAGTTCCTGTTCCTACACGCAGTGCTCAATCACGAACAACAACACCATCGATATCGTACAGAAGTAGAGAATTTCAAAACCACAAACGACGTTAACCACTGAAAAAGTGTGTCGGGAGACTGAGAAAGTCGGAAAGGTTTCTCTCCATTTTCTGGAATGTTTGAGTCCAGCATGCAATAAATGATTTCCTGCGCCTCGTGCTCACTCGTACGCGGGCAATAGGGAGGTTTAGTTCCCACGTAACGGAACGCGTATGTGGGTGATCCACGTAAAGTGGATGAAGGGCACCCACGTTGCAATGTTGTGTTTAGTCACATGGAACAAACAAAAGCATGAAGCGAAAGGCCCAAACCTGGTCAAAGACGAAGCTACCCGGGCCTGAGAAGCTCATCCAATATTTTGATTTCGTGCTTCGGAAACTTCTTCAGCTGAGCCCCCTCACAGCTCGCACTATGCGCTCCATTCTGATTTTCACCCACGTTCTGGCGGAACGTGGGTGAGCCTCCATACACGGTATGTCGTGAATCAGAAAACGTCTGTACGTGGGTCACTGAGTATCACCGTACAAACACGTAAAGTACCCACGGATTACGTGGGACTAAACCTCCCTGGTACATGTACCGGCTTGATACATGACCTCGCGGCTGACGCCGTTCGGGCATGTATCAGCCGGTATTGCCCTTGTGAGTGCAGTAAATCATACTTATCGCATGGTTGCGAGGGCCTTATGGCATATTATTGCCATAAGGCCCGCAGCAACCATGCGATAACAACTTTATCACATGGCCCACAGAACAGACCATTGGGGCTGTTGAAACTAGCCCAAATGCCAACACACTATGACCACAATATATACCGTAAAGTCGCGGATAAAAGCCGGGCTTATAAGCACATGAGCCGCTTTCTGCATCAGGCTTTAATGCAAGCCAGGCGTGTATGCAAACCATGCTTATAATATTATATTATGCACCACTGATATTTTTGCCAGGCTTGTATGCACATAGAAGCCAGGCTTCTACGTGCGACACGCGTAGATCTACCACTGACTACCGGTGTGGCGGCAGTTTTACTATGCACTGTACATAGCGCATGCACTCTTGACCTACCCACTACTACTACTATACTAAATTGTTTCACTGTACATGTACTGATGTATAATGTATGTTCTCTTGCCAAACTGTGCCTTGGTCAGAGTATGTGTACATGTACTGATGTACAATGCATGTTCTCTTGCCAAACTGTGCCTTGGTCAGAGTATGTGTACATGCACTGATGTACAATGTATGTTCTCTTGCCAAACTGTGCCTTGGTCAGAGTCACATGGGAAGTTGAACTGCTACTGCACTCAATTGTATAAATCAAAAAACCGGACGCTCTTACAATTCATCCTTGCGAAGCTTCCACTATGTGTTATCGTCAACCATTGCCCCCTCCCATTAGAAGCCATCTGATCCTGCAAAGACAAGCAGCTGACTCGTGGTGGCGTCGAGGATGAGACCACTGTAGGCTAGCCAGCAAGCTAGGCTACAGACTGCTGTTGTGAGCTCAGACGAGACGAGGTCAGCGCTGCGGCGTTTGGAAGTCAAGGCTATATCGTCTGCAAACTGGATTGACATTGTCGGGGAGGTAACAGGCTGTACGTCTCTGGTGTAGGGCTGGAGAGCAGCGGACCCAGGACTGAACCCTGCGGAACACCTCGGGTGCCTGTAACAAGCCTGCCGAGTCCGAAACCTTCACTCCGCTATTCTTCCAAAGCTCTTCCTGCCCTCCAATGTCTCACTCCCCTCCCCATCCGCCTCGACTACCTTGCCCGTCTCCCTCCCGTCCCCATATCATTCCCCTCCGCTCCGCTCCCCGTCACTCTACCCTTCCTGTCTCCCTCCCCTCCCCTCACCTCCCTTCCTTTGCGCCAGATACCTCCTCCCTTGCTGCAGCACTGCAACACACTAGGAGATTACCTCTAGAACCATGATCTTCTTTTAAAGAATCCATCCAAAACTAGCATAATTCAATGATGGAAATGAAAGGGGAGGAAGGGTGCAAGAAAAGGACAGCACTATCCATGCTCTGTGAGTGTATATTCTGTAACATAGCTGTCACCATGGTTACAGTGGAGTTGCTGGGTACGTTGCATTACACGAAACATGGAATTGCTGGTGAGAAAAACAATGATGCTGGTGGATATGTTGCTTCTTGCACTGTAATCTCTACGCATTTTGGGAATGAAGCGTGTGTTGTGAAGATCGTACTGAAGAAATGTCTGACAAGTGATCTAAACCAACTATGGTAGCTCTCACTATAAACATTGCTGATATGAGAAAAAGTATAGATTTCAACTGTAGTTGTCTCTCTCAGGTAACTCCAACACTACGGGTACTATCATGCATTCCGTCTATTCAAGTGTAGCAGCTATTTCCAGTTTCAAGGCTGCTCCATGAAATGGTCATTATGAGAATAGCAAACAGGAAGAATCTATGGCCAGCAGAATATTGATCACGTGACTGAAAACACTCACTGTCATATTATTGCTCCAGCTGTTCAACAAAGTTGCCATGTGAGTTCCAAAAGATTCTCTTGGGAATGTGTGACCCACCCGTCAAACAGCGGCATTCTGAACTGCTCTGTCTGACATGGATTGCCACCCAATGCTACAGCGTGCATATGCTGTACACCAGGTGAGCTGATGAGCTGCTTCACTCCATCATCTGTCACGTTGTTCTTGTACAGTGAGATTGTCTTCAGTGTGGTGTTGGTCTCCATAGCAACACACAGTGCACCAGCGCTGCGATCACTCAAGGCATTACGGCCAAGTGTGAGCCACTTGATATACTGATTACTGCGTAGAGATGTGATGAACTCAGCTCCAGTGTCATCATCCAGTCCTGTGCCTGTCAGTGCGAGACAAACAATCCCTGTGCACTGTGACAGTAGACTCGTGACTGGACGGATAACATCAGCTTCTTGCTGCTGCTGCTGCTGCTGCTGCTGCAGCTGCTGCTGTGGCTGTTGCTGTTGCTGTTGTGTTTGTTGGAGAGGTGGCAGTTGTTGATACGTAGGAAAGATGTTGTTATCTGACATAACCAATGCCAGTGGAGATGATAGAGTTCGATGACGACATGCTCTGAGTACTGAGCACAATCCATGCAGTCCAATGTTGTTGAACGATAAGTAGACCACTCGGAGTGTGTTGTTGTGTGCCAGACCTTGCTCAGCAAGCACCTCTGCACCAGTGCTGGTTATGTTGCAGTACCGGAGATTTAGTATCTCCATAGTTGTGTTGACAGCCATGACTGGGACGACTTTCTGGATGGTTTGATGGGCTATGTAGTACATAAAGTGATCGCTGCCATTATAGCCAATAGCTGGAGCAATCTGCTGTGCGCCAGTATCACCAATATATTCCATGTAGAGACTGGCATGGTTCTTGAGCAACCTTTGCCGCAGATCCCGTTCCCGTACACCATCACTGTTCACAAAGTGGAGACCCGTGACCACCAGATCACCATGGGATAAGCACTGTGCGGTTGCTATGGTTTCCAGACCTTCTCTGGTCACATTACAGCCTTGTAACTGTACTTCACATTTGTGGCCATTCTGAACTGCTGGAGAGGTGCTAGCTGATGAATGCTGCTGCTGCTGCTGCTTTCCGTTCTTTCTCTGATAGAACTCACAGATAGCTGGAACGATACCATCATCCAGGTCATTGCCCGTGACCCAGACTACCTCAACGACATTGGTATTCAAAGCAGCCAGAACTTGTTCAATGTCTGAGTTGCTGAGGTTATTGCAGCTCATATCCAGTCGCTGAAGCTGTGGCAGTTTGTTGATGAGTGCAGCCAATTGACTTCCACAACCAACTGTCAGACCAACATTCTGCAGAGCAAGGTGTGTAAGCT